CATGGCAAAAGAGGTAAGTCGTGTACACAGAGCTTTTCCAGAGGGTGCCCCTAGGGAGTGCCTGCTTAGAAGCAGCCATGACTATGAAAAGCCACGCCCTTGACAAAACCAGTCCTGATGGGTTGGATGAGCTTGCACCTCCTGGCAAATAGTATGGACCAAATCAGCCATCCAAGCTGAAGCCGAAGCCTCTGCGCCACTTCTTCTTAAATCTTTGCAAGTATATTAATGCAAACCACTCACGGGTAAAATCTCTGCAACCTTTGTCTTGGCAGGCATAAAACAGCAGGTCATCGAGGGCCACCATATTTCTGTTTGTAAGAGGCCAGGGAATTCATCAGTCCTGGAAGGATTTCTCCACGTTTGGCGAGCTTCCGTAGCAACAAGCCCAGGAACAGGCTCCAAACACCTCAAACACATCACAATCTTATCTTAAATGAGATTCAATGTGTTTGCCATTTCAAATTTCAAGTGATACCTCCCAACATGTGTATATATATATATATATATTAGACAGTTATCTACATATATTTCGTTCTCCAACTGCCATGTCATTTGCATCCATTTGCCTAGGAAAGCTGGAAACCTGGGCCAAAGTGTCTCCCCAAGGACGAGGCCTTCGGTCTGGAGCAGCAGGTGGCTTGAGCCACGTCAATCACCGACGCACCTTGGGTGTTCGAACCGTTTGAGTCAACGGTGAAAGCCCGAGGGAGTGGAGTTTCCGAGAAAGCAGAAGCTTTGCGAGACGAGTATGACAGGTTCGATCCATGCTGGACTGCTGGACAAATGCTGGACTTTGCATTCTTTGATCTTTCTCGTTGAGCCGAGCCCTCAGCTCAGCTAGGAAACCTTCAGTCCAACCAGGGACGAATGACTGCAGTTCGTCCTTGCGAAATCACCGAGCCAAGCGCCAGCTTCTGAGAGGTTCAGCACTCTCTGGGGCACGCCGCGAAGACCTCACGGAATGCCGAACGACAGTCTGCCCCGGTAAAAGCATGAAAAAGCCGCCACCAGGGCCAGGTGACCCCACTTGGCCAAAGAAGAAATGGCTTTGGATTTGGATGGGTTCATCCCAAAAACTGACATGCGAAAACGTGTGACGCGTCATGCACTCGTTGGGATAACTTTTCTCGATCACTCTTCCCCTCGCTGTCGATCTGGGGCCGACGGGCCTAAGTTCTTCACCAGCTCATCTGCAAAGTGGCAACCTCACCGTCCAAACCGTCGCTACCCTCTTGGGTGACCGGAATGTGTTTTCAGCTCGTCTCGCAGAAACGAATGCAAATCAGCTCAGGTCAAGGCAATTCTTTCTGAGAATGTTGTACTTGTTTATAGGCCAATTGGCCTGCAAGCATCGGCTGCGAACAGCAGGCATTGTCCAAGTGGCGCCATGAAAGCAGACAGGGACCATCTGAGCCATGCCTCCATCTGAGCTATGATGTACAAAACTTGTACCTTGCAAGACACCGAAACATGAAAGCAGCCGGCAGTGTCCTCTTTTCTTTGAAAGGGTATTCTGAAAGGTCTGTGATATTGGATGATATGGGGATATGGGCCATGGGTGTACAAGCAGAAAATCAATTGAAGATCCAGGCGTTTTAATCAAAAATGCATCCAAATCATCTAAAGTCGCAGCCTTCAACTAACTCTCCGATGTCATCAACCCCACAATCGAAAGCCTCCGTCTTCGTTGTAAAGCCCATGTCCACCTCGCAAATCCAAGGAGACACAGCGGTTTGTCCAAGCAGAAGATGATCATTTAGACAGAGTCAGTTGTGCACTCAGTGGTCCCTAACTTTGAAGCATCCATGTGGTCGGAGAGCGAGAAAACGCCAAAGTCATGTCCGACAAAGCTGGTATGTCCTCCTCTGCAAATCCTGGATCCCCCGACCGTCTCCACAAAGCGATGGCCAGGACCTCAGGGACGTGCGAATCGGACGACGACCACACGGAACCCTAAGGACATCCAGATGAAGCGATTCTTGACAAGAGAACACCTGCTGATCCCTCTTCTTGTCGGTACAAGCCCGGAGTGGGCAAACACTGATGCTTGAAAGATGAAAGGATGGGGCCTTTCCACACATCCATTGAGCCTATTCCAAAGAGAATCAAGAGTTGTCTTCTGGGAAACTCAAGCACCGTGGGAGAATATCCACATCATGAAATTCAAGGGAACCAGGGTGTCCTTCAAAAGTCCAGAAGTTGCTGCCGGTTTGCCGTCCGAAGGATTCCAGAAACCCAACGCGTGTATAAAGTCTAAACATCTCCAACCATCTTTTCTGATTGCCCATGACTACCCCACATCTGTGTTTTGTTCCCCACATCTGTTTTGTGGAAGGGAAGAAAAAGAAATAGAAAGAAAACTCCTTTTCTGCCTCCTCCCAGTGACTGGGCTTCCCAGCTGTGCTTCGGCCATGAGCTAAAAATGCCCGTCCGAGCTCGGTCCACCTTCACGTCCCTGATATCGGAGTAGCTCCACTCCAAACCGTAGACCTCCCGCACCGCGAGACCGTTTTGGGATGAGCCGGGCCAAAGACACAAAAGGGGCGTCACTGAGTTGGGTGGCAACAGGGAGTTGAGTGGGGCACATGGCTGGACCAGAGGATCATTCTTGGCAATCTACAACTTCAGATTTGTCAGAATGTGAAGATCTTGCCCACCTCTATGCCGCAATGAAAGGCTCCAGAATCAAAGGGTTTCAGCACCTCGAATTCGTGAGCGGTCTCATCTCATGAGTGTCCCCCCATGACGGAAAGTGCAACTTGCTCATCCATGCACGGGCCCAGTTCAATCATGTTCGATCAAGCTCTGGGACAAGGTCAAACAAAAAAGACAACTGGGTTTGCACTGCTTTCAGCAAGTTTGGAAAAGTATATCCTCTGTGATAGAAGTGGAATTGTAGCATGGTTGATTCCTTTGTCAAAGGGGGGATCCAACAGATGTCCTTGAAATTGAGAGCACAGCAAACGTATCCGTACCTTTCAGGCTCTTTCAGCTTGCTCATTTGCTTGGGGCGCCCAGCTGAGTTCACGAAGGACATCTGCCCAGAAGAACCCAGATCATAGATGTTCAGGGACACCTGGGACTTCCGGGCGCTGGGACAGGGCGCTGCAAGCTTGCGCTTCGTTCTGGTCAACCTTAGACTCGGTGAGCTCAGCGAGAGACCGGCACTGGATTTCGACCTCTTTCCTTGAAGATCACACCTGAAACCAGGGAAGATCGAGTCGACGAAGTCGTTGGATTTGGTCCAATAAGTTGGTCAAGGGAATAAAAACGACTCATCCCGGTCGTTCATGCAGGTGCCAAAATGTCTCGAAAGGCCCAAAAAGGATTCACTCAACATCACTCAACTCTCGACAAGTTGGCGCACTTGACCCATGAACAACGAACGCTAATGCTTGGCGCCTACATCTGCAGAGTCAGATGTACGGCTGCAGTTCTGCCCTGGCAGCTCTGAGGCAAGCTACAGTTCAGCAATGAGGGGAATCAAGTCTGCGGGGTGCAAGCCAATTAGAGTTTTGGTGAGTGTGGCAAAATTCGCTGAGCCACGAGAAGTTACTGGACTGGTGGAAAAAAATGGCGTGGTCTCAATCTGCTCACGGGTCGTCGTCGACCTTTTTGGCCTTCGCCAATCTGAGCACAGTCCCAAATAGAAAAGCAGGCCAGGTAGACCCATGGAGCACCTCAGCCGGAGGGACAAACACACAGCCTTTGCAAATTGGCTAAAAGCGATTGCAAGAACAAATGCACCAGAAATCGATAGTGATACGGTTGATGGACCAAATCATGCACCACTGGACGAACAAACTCATGTATACCCTCGCGCTCCATCTTTAACATTGAGTTGCTGAAATGCGTCAAACAAAAAAGTTGAATGACCAAAACCCAGAATGACACCTAACAAACATGAGACAACGTTGAGTTGGGGGGGGCACGGGGGGTCTGTATTATTGGATGACCACATGTGTTGCTTTATTGATGCAGGATTTCGTCCATCAACAGTATGGCAAGAGATACGAAGCGGGTCTGACAATGCTGCAGGGCTGCAATACATTTTTTTCACAACTGTAATGCACCTGTTTGGCGAGTAGGGACCATGAACAGAACTGAGGATCTGGCACTTGCCGCACTGACAGCGTCTGGCAGTTCCCAGGCGCTATGTAGAAAATGGTAGGAAAAGCGTGAAATTGCCTAGGTCATCTTTGCTGATCCGGCATAGGAAGTCAGTTGTCTATTTGGAGACCTCTGAGTTGCGAGATCGTGCAATCATGCGCTTTCTTGGCAAACAAACCCATGCTTGAGCCCTTCTGGCAGATGGAGATGGGTCAAAACCGGAGGATCCGGGTTGATTAACGGGTCATTGAACCAGGTAACGGGTCACAGACTGCTTGAGCCGGTCAACCTACCAGGGTGAAACAGGCAGGTCTTGACGAAAACAGCCAGATCGATCTATGGAAAAAGCACTCTCTATGCAGGCAGCGTCAGTTGAACCAAATTTTGGTAACCACTTGTCTGATGCGAACAAGACTTTGTGAGCAAAAACAGGCTGAAAAAGCACCCAGCGATTGAATGCGAAGCACCCAACGTCTGAAGCCTTGTCAGTCGGAGCTCCCGTTGCATCCCAAACCAATTCTCCTGGAATCCCGCCGCCTGCATCATCCCGCACCAGTCTCACCTCGGTCGCTGGCGATGACACGCGGCGAGACGGCGAGACGGGACGGTGGCGCGTGCAGCGCAGCGAAGCGGAGCTCACCTTGCAAAGAAGGTTTTAAAAGAATCCGTCAGTAGATTGAAAGCATCTTCAATCAACATGAAGCTGTGAGAAGCCACACTAATTACACACGATGACGCACTCAAACCTGCACCCAGATTTGCGCTCACAGGGCAGCACTTTTTTATCTCGCTGAAGCCTACAGAAAGAGTGGACAGTGTGGAACCAGAGGTCCTAACAGAGGCACAAGGACACGTTCCATAAATCCAGTGTTGTGTGATGTATATACATATTATATAAATGTGCAATCTACTGGCCCTTATGTGTCTTTCCTTTGATGGTTGCATGACTGTCATTGTCTTGTTGCTTTTCGATTGGGGTTGGGTTGCTTTTTGTCGTGATACGGCGCGACCACAAACTCTGTTTGTAAAGCATGTTCTATTTGTCCAGCTTTGAAACTAGATCCCAACTGGGAGGGTTATAATACGACATGTCCTGAACAGCCCCGTGCCTGCCAAACGCTAGCTCAGCCGCATGCGCTAGGCGTGCTTGATGATGGGGAAGCAAGTGACCTGGCAGCGATCTACGAGTAAACTGGAAGCAGGCAGCCACTTCCATCAAGGAACTATACAGTACAGTAATAGAGAGAGAGAGAGAGTGTGTGATTGTTGACCACTGGCTGTTGGCCGCTCTTGTAGCGGACACAAAGGCTCGTGCCATCGTTCCTGCACCTGGGTCGTTTCCATTTTAGTCGATTCTTGCGCAGTCAACAGTTTCATTCACGCCTGCTTTCTGAGCAAGGATGGGCTCCAATCTGGCGAAGAGCCCTCAGAGACTGCAGGAAAACAGCACCGCAACTTCTGAAGAAGAACATCCTCAACCCAACAAAACATAACAAAACATCATCTATACAAGGTGTGATGAAATCACATCTCTGAAGTGGTATGTCTTGGCAAGTATTTCCTAAAATGTCCGTCGGGAAGTGATTCTTACATATTCTTATATACCACAGATATTTGGACTGATTGAAAAGGATGCATCTCAGGTCAAGCGATGCTCAACCATTTTCTCAAGCAAAACCATGCAAACACTAAAATCGGCTCATTAACTGCAACAAATCACCATCATTAGAATCAAAGTAGATCGAAGAAAAGGACACTAAGGACACCTTGAAAATTGAAAAAAACAATTGGATTCTTTCGAATCAGGGGTCAGAAAACAAACCCACCCGACCACCCGACCACCCGACCACCCAGACACCAGGTCACTCCGGTGTTGCGACTCCGCCAGAGCGCACGCGATGCGCGAGGCACAGCTGGGAGACACCGAAGGTCGGTGCCTCGGAGGTCGAGGGGCTATGTTAACATAGTGAAACAATGTGAAACATCAAGATGACAGTCGACATGGCCTACTGTATCTTCTGGACCGCGGCTCAAGAACAAATGGTTCGGAACTTCTTCAGTTGCGGTACAAGAGCTCATCGCAGATCGCATGCAATAGCACGTCCTCTTCCGAGAGCTGCACGGCCTGGCTGCAAAGGGTGGCGCCATGGCACTCCTGGCCGAGGCTTTCGGCCTCGTGGCTTCATTGGTCAAGACAACGTGGTGGGCACCCCCAAAAGACCAAGCCAACCATTCCTGGACCCTTCCTGTGTGAAAATGTGGACTTGGAAATGAAATCAGTACCTCCTTGCTGTACCGGTCACCAGGCTGCATGCTCGCTTTTCAATCATAAGCACCCAGGCAGACAAACAGGCAGGCAGACAGCCAGGCAGACAAACACAGCCAGCCAGCCAGCCTGACTCACTCACTCACTCACTGAATGACTGACAGGACAGACTGACTGAGTGACTGGCTGACTGGTTGACTGCTGACTGGTGGACTGGTTGACTGACTGACTGATTGATTCATTGGTTGGCAGTGTAGTATTGATTCTTGCAGGATCGTGCATCCACAACCTTGATGTCCCAGGTACAGTACAGCCCCTTGGGCTGCGCACCTCTGTGATCTTCAGCTGTGCCTTGGTCGCCCTCACCAGCTGTGCCTCGCTCAACGCCGTGACCACCTTCGCCAGACGTTGTCCCAGGCGCTGGGTGACACCGTCCGCAGTCGGTGGTGTCGTGGACCGTGGTCCGCAGTCGGTGTTGGCACAAGCCGAAAGGAAAGCCACTAGGTGCTGTGGCCCAAGGTCTTTAGGCAAGGCCTCCGCGGCGGCTTGGAAAAGGAAACGAAGCCATTTCTTGAAGTATGGAGGGCGTATCCTCATCTACAGTATGCGCAAAACAGATGTTCCATAGCCTACGCCAGTTGAACCATGTTGTTCCACGTTTCGCTTGTTCTTGTTCAGTCACTACCACCTTGTTTGGACCTCACTTTGCGCTTTCAGGAATGCCGCCTTTTATTCATCACACCAAAGCAGATTGACAGCATCCCAGCCTCTTCGACAGCAACCTGAGGGTGGTGGTCAGCTACTGTGATCAGTATTTATGACTGATCGTTTAATCCATCCACATCTGTCGCACAAACTGGAGCTCTCATGCACTGCCATGTCCTTGTGTCCCCGCATTTTGGCAAAAGGCCGACCATCAGAATCTCCAAAGAAGCAACTGCCAATCTGTTCAACCACTAGGTTGAGTCACCGTGTTGCTGGAATGAGACATGAAGCCCCTTCCGTCCACCTGCACCACCTGCTGCGCCACATCAATGCCTCAGTGCATCGGCAGGATCCGGATGTGCCCCGGGCGCCCAAAAAACCTGCCTGACCTGGTAGCAGGTGTAATGGATCACCATAATCCATCATAATGCCTGACATGACATTCCCAGCGGATCAGTGTATCTCAGTGGATGGGCCTTGAGTTCTTCTGCCACTTTGTACCTTCCCATCGGTTGGCCAATCAAATTTCAAGACATCAGCTTGGGGTCGAGGCTTCCACACTGCGCCAAATCCGTCTCTGAGACCAATGAAACTCCCCAACCCAACCGTATACCCAACCGTACCCAACTGTCCAACCGTCCAACAAAACACCCAACGGCGCCAACGGCCCGTTCGCCGCAGCACCCACTCGTCCGGCCGCCGCGGCAGTCGCTGCCGCTGAAGCCAGCGCTGCCAGTTCTGCAGACGGCGCCTGTGGCAAGCCCTGCGAAGCCTCAGTCTTGAAGCGCAGCGTCCAGTGGAAGAAAAATTTCAAGACTTGATAGTTTCTGACCCCGTCCAGTGCGGTCCGGCCTCATGGATGAGTCGCCTCACGTCCACATCCACCGCGTCCAACACAGTGTGTGACCGCGCCACTGCCCACAAGACCGCGCGGCAGGTGGACGGGACGGGCTCACGTCGGAGCACCTCCTCCGTGAGGGCCACCTTGGACAGGAGAGGTTCCTCACGGACCTTCCAGAAAACGCGAAGTTGCGGTCTTCCAAAATCCCCAAAACCATCCAAAATCCAAATCCTCTCAGCTCTGCTCGGCCCTCCTCTCTCTTGTTTCCTAGATGGGTTTTGATTGGAGTTCACCATCAAACCCAAAAAATCCGTCGCTTTTTCGATAGGGCCAGCTCTCAGAGCGCTTTTCGTTTAGCCACCACCAGGGCATGTCTTTTCTCGCCATCTTCGGGCCAAGCAGTGGAAGCGGAGGCCAGCAGCTTGAGTGTGTCCTGCAGAGCAGGGCCCTACAGATGACCCCATTCAAGAGACAAATCAAGCCCAGTGCTCTCTTGGCTTTGGCCAGCACTTTATCATGGGGGATGAGTTCGTGCTCGACTGGTTTTCTGACTCACCCAACGAAGCAATTGCTTCGACATGCGCAAAGAAACGAGAGCGAAACCACAAGAGGGGCACTGTCTTGGTTTTTATTGTTTCTACCCAGAATTCGAAAAGAAAGAAAAAACACACGCACACACGTCCATGATGACTTAGCCACATCCAAAGGTCCAAATCTTGAAAGGACTCGACACAAGTTTGTTGATCCCTATCCTTGCAGTGTGCTTTGCTTCGCTCTTAAACTTCAGGAACTCTATTCATCATGTCAGTGAAGAATGACATTTGATTTTTTGAAGATGATTTCGGAAAGAAAAATGATGCACAACGAAACACTCCTTCTTAGGAACTCCTGACTTGCACCACGTACAAGTGTCCGCCCCTTTGGTCTGTCAAGTCGGCTGCATTCACGAGACGTACAGAAGTGCAGACTGATGCGCATATACATGCATGTAACTAGAGGCAACCACTGATCTTGGGGGGTACCAGATATGATATACATATATACATATATATATATATACTCACGGATTTACTTAAGATTGTGACACGTTCGTGAAAAACGCTACACTTTTTAACGTTTTTCCCCGAAACAGTTTACTGTTGGGTTCTATCTTAGAAGAAAACCAGCTGGCCACACTCACTGAGCCGGGCCGCATGGGTTTGGTCATAATGCACCTGCCGGGAGTTCCCATGCTCAAATGTCATCTGACAGACCCAACACCCAAACCGACCATCTCTATCCCCCTGGTACTGATCCGGAAAGGCAGCCTGGATACGTTTCCGCCGCTCCACCCGATTTTGCGCAAGCCGAAACCAATCCCCGGATGAAATCCCCGCCGCCGCCAAACAGCGTTCTAACCATCGAGCCTGACCCACAAACACACTATTCTTAAGAGCTCTCCCCTTCCATCGTCAGAGAGTTCCATGACCAGGCGGGCGCGGTAGCCAAAGCCATGGGAATAACCACAGCTTTGGCAATCGTCAAACGGACCGATCACTTCGTTTTATTCGGCAGAAGCCGTCCCGGACGACGCGACCCACCCCCCACATGCTCGACGACCGGCGCTTCTCCAAAATGAGGTGTGTCTGTAGCAGCATTGCCGGCGCCCGCCAGTCTCAGGCCTGCAGTTTTGCGTGGATGAACCCGCTCTTCAACTTCCCAATCGCCGCACACTACACTAAACAGCTGTTCAGCAGCCACCACCTCATCCGCCTCCCCACAAATCCCTGTGTCATCCGCATAGCCAAAATCCCCAATCGCAACCTGACCTGTTTCTGCCCCTGCTTGAAACCGACCAGCGCGCTTGAAACCGACCGGCGTGCCGTTTACTACATATCCATAAGGACCCAACACATCACCCCAGTCCTGAGCTGGCAGTCTGAAGTCAGAATTTAAAATCCCTCAAAATGATCCGGATTGAGACTTCGACAACCGTCGACGCACGGCGTCCCGTTCCCGGACCGACGCCCGGGATCGAGTGAGTGCGAAGAACCGGATCGAACCGAGAAACCGGAGGACCCAGCCTCTCAAATTCCAGGTCAAGACAGTTTTTCCTACTCGCTCTGCATCGCTGCCTCCCGAACACCTCCCGTTCAACGAGTGTCCGTTTAGCATTGTTGTGTTTACGCAACGTTGTCCGTTTGTGAAACCGCGATTTTGCCCGGAACCTTTGACAGAATCTGCGCCGTTGCACTTTCCGCATGCCTCTGACACGTTGTGTGCACAAGTGCAGCCAAATGAGTTCCCCACTCCTCATACACTCTTGCACGTTTCATTCTGTCCGCGGTTGTGTCCAACTAACCTACCACGCCCCCTGTCCAAAGCACGCACCTTAGGACCCAAACACGGGAAACCAAACCAGCCAAACCCAAACCAGTTCGCCCCAACAACGTGCGGGTCAGTCACGTTGTTGTTACCCCCCGATCGGTGGCCAATGGAAGAGTTGACCCAAGGGGACAACTGAACGTCCCTTGAGCCGAAACCGGCGGGAGTCGCGTGCTCCCGTTCTCCGCATAAACCAAAGAAACGAAAAGCGGGAACCGCATGGCGAAAACCGGAGAACGCCGGACGCGTAGGACCGGATTGATTGGGTTCGCCCTTGGTCCATCCTGACCCCCCAAGATCGGCGCCCACGGGAAGGGCCGCACGCAGCGTATACATATTGGTGCGCAGAGCGCCGAAGAGTTGCTGAGCCGAGCGTTAACATTCCAACCCACGCACCGCAGCCCACCCCACCCCACTCTCAGTCACTCGCACTGTGTACGTAGCGTAGCGTAGAAAGGTTTCTTCTGTATGGGTGTGCAAATTTGAACCGAAGGGTAACCCACCCCGCCCCATCCTCAGTCACTCGCATTGTGCACGTAGCGTAGCGTAGAAGGGGTTTCTTCTGTATGGGTGTACAGCGTGAGCCCAACATTAACATCCCACCCCACCCCACCCCACCCTCAGTCACTCGCATTGTGCGCGTGGCGTAGCGTAGAAGTGTTTCTTCTGTATGGGTGTGCAATTTGAACAGAACGTTAACATGCCATCCGACCAAAACCGTCGGAATCGTGGAACAGTTCTCAAGTCTTAATTACAGTGTGTTTTGCATCGACCGACGAAAACACCCGCGGTAAAAGCATGTATTTGTCGCGACAAATTCCGAAAAGAGGATATCCAAAAAACGCCTAAATGACGTATGAAAGTACAAGTAAGGTTAAAACACTTCCCTTCTTAAATAAACCCGTCTGGATATATATATATATATACATTTATATAATATATACAAATCCACCATGGAGTCGTGTCCAAGCTCGTCAGCGACCGACAAGAACCACGACGCGTCTCCTCTGTCGCTTCTGACGAAATGCACCGCGCATGCACAGCAAGGAGGAAATCTGCAGACGGAACATGCTTTGCCTGAAGGTGACAAGGGGCAGGCATGGCAAGAAACTTCAAAAGCAGGGGATGCTCGTGCTTGAAACTAGTACAGTAACTAGCGATGCACTTTGCGATATTTTTGGTGGGACCAGCCGCCACCGGCACCCTGGGTCTCTGGCAGCCAGGGAGCTGTCACCATGGCGTGCGTCACCTCAACGCACACGACCGACGTCTGGATGCAAAATTGTGTGCTGGTCTACTCCACTGATTTTCGGAAAGGCTTCTCACATGGAAAACTGATTGTGACCGATTGTGGCTTTGGCAACCTTTCCATTGAGGTTCCGAACACACCTTTCCTTTCATGATTCAAAGATGAAGGCTCCCACTAACTTGGGCACTTCTGGCGGGTGACGACTGCAGAACTGTGTGGGCTCATCCAATTGGCAACCTGTGGTCAGAGCCGCAACATACTGAAGGCTAGAAGTGGCTAAAAGCAAACAAACATGCGACAAAAGTTCCATTTGACTTATATAAGGCTTTTCCTGTTCAACACTTCAACTCTCACCTGAGCAGTGGTCAACCTCTCAAGCCGCCAAAGGACAGACCATCTCAATCCATGCAGCCGACCTTTCACTTTCCTCAAAGGGCAGGCCACCTGCATGCGATCGGCCATCTCGTAGGGTAGGCTTTGGGACAGCGCAGCTTTGGCGACTGCCATCGCTCGGAAGCTCTCAGAGATGTCCAACTCGCTGAACTCCTCCCTCGAAAGCCTCGCGGCGAAGACACGACACCAGTCGCAAAGAAAAAGTGGACAGCTTCTTGTTACTAGTAGTAAGGCCAGGAGCCCCTAGTA